AAAGTAGCTTTATTTTTCCACTCCCCTTTTATCCTCTTACACTCTCTTTTATTTTTTAATAGTTTTTACTATAACAAAAAAGGAAGTGTAAGTAAACAAAAGAGGAGTGGGAACATACAATTTCTAACAAAGGGAGTGTAAGTGGATAAAAGAGGAGTGGGAAAATCAGCCATCTATTTTTAAAGTGTTGTTAGTACAAAAACAGTGTCAAATTAGTACAAAAAAGAGTGTCAAAACTGTTTGGTAAATTTTAATATAAAACAATTGTAACTGTAAATAATGACTAAAATAAACATTATGTTGAAAGTATTATGCGTTAATCATGTGGTGGTAGTAGTGGTGATGGTTGAGGTGGTGGTGAAAGAGATGGAGGTGAAGGTGGTGATGGTGGTTATGGTAGTGGTGGTGGTGGAGATGGCGGAGATGGTGGTTGTGAAGGTGGCGGTGGGGGGTGGTGGTAGTGATGGTGATCGTAGAGGTGGTGGAGGTTGAGGATGAGGTGGTGGTGACGATGGCGATGTGGTGGTAGTAGTGGTGGAGGTGATGGTAAAGGTTGAGGAGGTGGTGGAGGTGGCAGTGGCGGTGGTGGCATAGTGGTGGTGGTGTCATTTTTAAAAAGTAATGCTGGTATTTTGGGAATAAAAAAATTTCATTAAAGGATCATCTTTATTTCTTTTGAAATCAACATTGAAAAGCAACCCAAAGCAAACCCATCCACACACACATTTCTCCTCTCATGCAAATACCCTTGGAAGGAACAAACCCATCCCACCTCCATATCAACCTCCCCAGCCATTGTCCCTCCTCATCCTTTGACCAGCCACAACAACAACCACCCTCACCCCATCTCATAAACCCATCTGCATCCTCCACGTATCAACCTTACCCATCCAGCCTCATCCGCCTCCCTACCCACACAGCCCCACCTCAATCTCTCCAACCTGCGCACCTCTCCAACCCTCAAACCCAATAGCCCTAATGAAACGACCCGACCCAAATTCTACTTTAAAATCCGGGCCGAATCCTGATTAAAACTGATACCTAGTGACTGTAAGTCGTAAAATACCAAAATACCCTGAAAACAGTAACATAAACCCTGAGCCCCTAACTCGTGGCTGCGCCTGATAACTGTAGGCTGCCTATGTACCCTTACTGAGGGATCAAGCCACACGTAATTCTTTCCTTTGTTCCTGATCTGTAACTGGTTTGTTTACTAAAACTCGCTCTAAGGCTGACATTTCTGGAATATCCGAAACTCCATTTTACGATCCGTCAAATGCTATACGATCCTGAAATTACCTAGATCAATATACTTCAAATTGACTGCGATCCAACGGTTCAAACGTATTGAACCCGAAAATCACACGCTAGGCGAGATCCGTTCGGGGTTCAAACGTTATCCGAATTAAGATCCGTGAAATCCTACGTACTCATGGGGACTAGGAGATTATTCTAGGACTGACTGTGGTCCCCACTCTGCTGCTCACACACCGCCCACTCGCCGGCAGCGTGTGGTGCCTAAAGCGATAACACTTCGCCGGAAAATCTCAACATCTCAGCTCAAGACTCCTATCCTAGGTAAAACACCCTATTTGGAACCACTTTTGTTCTTGGACCTACCCCAAAAACTAGCCGGAAGTGGCCGGAACAGTGACTCGAAAGTCTGCTGAAACCTAACTTAAAAATCGAACGATCTACGCTTAAAATCTCTGAAATCCTACCCAACCAGCAGCTAGAGCATGGAAAATAGCTAGAAAACCATACCTCACTCGTCCGATTTGGTGGTCGGAGGTGTCCGAACGAGCTCCGTGAAATTCCATCAAAAACTGTCCAAACCGTCCTGTTTCGTGGCGGTTTCCGGCTACCATACCGGCAGATCAAGGCTGTGATGGGTTAAGACTGAAAGAGGGGAGTGAGGTGGTTCTTTTGGCACTGGTCTTGCTCAATTTGGAGGTCGGAGCTGAGAGAAACCCTCTCCTAAAGTCGACTGGTCCAACTGGAGGAGGAGGAAGAAAACTGGGTTTTAAAAACTGAAGTTTGAATTATTTACGGTTATGCTACTGAACTTCTTTTGATCGTAACTCTTTCGTTACAACTCCGATTTGAGTCCACTACGTGTATACAGACTTGTTTCGTCGCGCTCTATGTAAAGGTGCAACTAAAATCCCCAAATTCCTTTCCAGTCAAAAAGTCAACTTTTAAACTAATAAAATATTTTAAGGGTATAATGGTCTTTTAATGGAATAAATTAGTAATTAAATATTAATTAAGGACCGGGTGTTACACCTAACCCACCTTAGAGCACCTCTTTGATTGGGGGCGTTGTGAAGAAATTGATGGTGGGAAATTGGTTTGAGATGAGGGAGATAGGAGGAGGAAATGGAAATGGGTTTATGCGTTGTTGGACACATGAGGGTTAGATGTTATGGTTACATGTTGCAGGTGGTCATATGCGGTTTGGAGAAATTTTTCAAGTTCTAGGTGTGTGCTGTAGGTTGGGTGATTGGGTGGGGGTTTGGATCGGATTTGTTGTAGGTGGTTATGGTCGGGCATATGCCGTAGATGGGACTAGTCGACGATTGTTTGGTGTTTTTGTTTTTGAGAAGATGGTCGAAGGATGGGGCACGTCTAGAGGGAGGGAGAAAGGAAGAGAATGAGAAAGTAGGGATTTTTTTTCTCTATATTTAAAAAAAAAATTATTTTTATTTTTAAAAGAATTGTTTAATATAGTTTTTTTATGTTTTTATTTTAATTATTAGAATTAGCCCCTTGGCACATGCTTGCCAATTGGTTTTCTTTTTTCTTTTTTTATTATTAATTTTATTTTTAGAATTAAGAAAAGATAACATGAGTAGTTAGGCAATCTCCAACCCTTGGACTCAAACCAAAAATATCCCCCCAAACCTCTCACAATCCAAGAAAATGAAGGACCCAAAATTTGGGAAACAAATTTGTACCCAAATATAAGTCCAAGTATTTCTCTGACCCAAATTTTTTCGTGGAGCCCACTTTCATGTCAAACAGCCCCCATGTGCAAAGATTCCTCTGTGGGCCCTACCTTTTTTTTTGGCTAATGCCATCTTGTCTTCCACAAGCACCACTTGTCAAAGCCCCATTGAGTTGCTGTTGGATTTGAAATTATTTGCTGTTTGTTTTTTTTTATTTTATATATATACATATAACTTAAATCAACAATGGAGATTAAATCTAAACTATTTTAACAGTAAAAAAAAAGATCCAACGACTGAAATTTAAATCCAACAGTCAAAATAATATTTTAAATTAATCAAGATTAGATCCAACCCCAAAACTCTATTAATACCCATCCATTTCTCAAATAATCTACTAAAAATATTTTATCCATTTCTCAGTTTATTTTTCCTTTGTCAATCTCATCAATCTCCTTTCATTCTTGTTGAAGATGTCCACAAAATCTCGTTTCATTCTTCTTTTAGAATTATGTTGTGTGTTTTCTTTCGGAACAAAATTATATTTGTGGAATTTTAATTTTTTTAGGTCAAATTGTTCAAAAAAATAAATAATTATGAAGTTATTTAAAAGGATTGAATGAAGAAAAGTTATCCATAAAAAATAAAAAAATAAAAATTAGACTTGAACCATTCTTAAACAATTTAATAAAGTTGTAGACCTAAAATTTGAGTCCGTATGGTTGTGAGAAAAAACAATTTGAGTCTAAGCAAAACTCAAATAGTCACTTTTTGGAGGGGGAAATTTGGGTTTAGTCCCTCATGGGTTGGAGAAGGCCTTATGTTCCTTAAAAGTATGACCTATTATCTGATTTTATTTTATTTTTTATTTTTTATTAATATGAGAAAATGTGAATTTACCATATTATCCTCATTTAATTAATAATTTCAATTCTTAATGATTGAATTAACCAAGGGCATTTATTAGTATTTTGAATGTTTCACCATTCTCTACATTTTGCTTTATATATATAGATATTTAATTATGTGGAGGTGGGCTCCACTACTATGTCACCAATTTAATTAGTGGATAATAATTCATGTGTACAAAATTACAAAAAATAACTCTATCACGTCATCAAAGTTAACAAACTTGGGCAAAATTGATGGCAATGGGTAAAGTGGGTCACCACACAATCAAGTGAGGTAAGTGGGCCACTTTAAGTATCATGGGACAATGGTGTAAATAAGCCTTTAAAATAATCAAGATATTTTACTTTATCAAAAACTGGTAAAAAACGATCTGCTTGATTTGGTCTGGTATTTTATTTTTATTTTTTGAAATTCGGTGGATAACCAACCAAACCGGTTTCTCTGAACCATGGTGTAAAAATGTTAGTAATCGAGAATGGTGTAAAAATGTTAATAATCGAGAATGGTGTAAAAATGTTAATAATTGAGAAAAGTTGAAGGTGGAGGATTTTTTTTTTTTTCAAATTTATAAATAAACTCAATCCTAGACATGTATTTATAAAAAAACCCAAACACTATTTAAACATAGAAACACACCCAAAATCAACCTCAAAGTCAACTTTTGGGGTGTGTTTATAAATGGTTTTTGAGTGTGTATAATGATGAGTTTTGGGTGTGTTTATATGTTTAAATAGTGCTTGGGTTTTTTTATAATTTCAGACCTTATTTTAGGTGTTTTAGTGAAACTCCCTCTTTTTTTTTTGGTAAAAAGGTACAGGATTTTCAAACACCCTCTACCTCCCAATTGCAGCGCCAGCTCCAAACCAATGTACGAAGCCACACGGTTGTGACAGCTTTGTATAACCATTATATTTAACGGGGTACAGTTCCACTCTCGTAATTAGATGGCAAACTGTAACCAACCCAACGGCTCCACTCTCCATTGTGCGAGAAATATGAAAATGACAATTCTATCCTCCTGTTAAAAGTTGAACGGACAATCAAGTGAGGGCTATGATCGTCATTGCAGAAGATGGCAAATTCGTAATATAAAAATCTACCAGCAGGTACCACCAAGTTGTTACAACAAGAAATCAAAAGCCCGCCAAAACCATTTCGTCTTCCATCATTCTCTGTTTCTTGAATAACAGCAGCTCTCAGTTTCTTGATTTTGCTTCAATGGCGATCAAATTCCGTACACTCTCACTCACCGTCCTCCTCCTTGTGCTCATCTCCTTGATCATGCTCCCCGACGGCGTTGTTTCCCTCACACCCCGAGAGTACGATTCGATGCAGCGAGTGCTCCGAGGCCACGGCTACAACCTGATGTGCAACGCCATGGCGACGTCAGATCTCCAGTGGATGCTCCTCACGTTCCCGGCGAACGCGTCCTTCACGATCTTCGCTCCCACCGACGCCTCCCTCTTCGCGCTAGACATGATCCAAACCGCGTCGTCCTACACCGACACCCTCCGCTTCCACGTCGTCCCTCTCCGCCTCTCGCTCTCCAACCTCCGCTCGCTCGCCGCTGGCTCCTTCCTCCCCACGCTCCTTCCCTCCAGCGCTCTCCGCCTTGTCTCCCCCCGCCCCCTCTCCGTCTCCGGAGTCGACGTCGTTTTGCCAGGCCTCTTCTACTCCCGCCACCTGGCGGTTCACGGCCTCGGCGGCATTCTCAGCCTCGCCTCTCTCGTTCCCTACGGTTCCTCCCACTCGCCGGTTCCAAAGGTCGAGCCCATGTCCACGTCTGACTTCAACGGTACGGATCTCTCTCCGGTGATCGCACCTTCTTCGGTGAATACTGGATCTCCGTCTATATCACCGGCGTTTGTTTCGGAGGACGAAATTTCTCCAGCGCCGGCTGCACCTTCGCCTTTGTCGGCCAATTCGGTGGCGGAGAGAGCTAGGGTTTTGTTGATGGAGATTAATGCAGACACAGATCATGAGAAATCGAAGTCGATCTTCGACGCCGGTGAGATCTTTGGCAGCGAATCTCCACCGTTGATGATGGAAGCGCGACCTGAGGAAGTTAATACGCTGGAGAAATGTGGAGCGTTGGATGAGATGACCATCGACTGCTTTGTGCCAGAAGGAGCTGCTGGATTGGACCACATCAGCGTTCATCATGTGGTTCGTGTTTCGACCTGATCGCCACGTGGTCAAATCTTGACGGTCCCTGGCCATGTTGTGCAGACTTTACGTACGTAGGTTCCGAATTGTAATAAAATGTTTTTGTGTCGATTTTTGCTTTTGAAGAAAATGGATCAATTGTTTGCTATGCATTTGCGTTTTAATTGATCAATACTGTTGAATATTCATCAGGGTATTAATTCTTTACAATAATTAGAGAAATTGCATGGTAGTTAAAGTTTAATTGCCATTTTTTCATAAAAGTTTTATAAATAAATAAAAAGTTCAATTAGAATGGCCATGGATAGAGCACAGAAGTAATGCAATGGGAATATTGGACAAATGGTTTCTCTGCAAGAATGCAAACATTGACGGTTAATTTGATAATTTAGTTTTATTAATTGTAATGCATTGCCTTTTTTTTTTTGGTCATTCGCTATTATTTTCCTAATAATCAGTAGTTTTTTTTTTATAATGATTTTATTGCATATTGCTTTTTCTTCAAATTGGTTAAAACAATTCATCCTAAGGTTAATATAGCAACTAGAAAAGTTTTGTCATAAATGAATTATCTTTTTGAATAACTGAAATGAAAGTACAACTTTTTTTGGGGTCGTCAATGAATAATTATTTTATTGAAAATCTCAACTGTTAACATTCGGTAAACGACAATAGACAATAATGGACATGTTTCCAGTAAAAAATGAAAGTGGCTCGGAAAAAAAAATTCCAATAAATGGAAATAATTCAAAGTAGTAAAAACTTGGAAGAGTTGGCAATATATATCAAGTTTACACCTTGCAAACAAATGAAGAAGTGGAGAACGAGAGTCGAACTTAGGACTATTTGTAAAGAAAGCTCTAATACCATGTACCCTTTCAATAACAAAATCTGTATTTCTCTTTTTAAATTAGTTAAATTAGTTGTTATGCTTTAATTGTTATTTATTTAGAGAATAATTAGTATATTTAAATATTTTATTAAAGAAAAAATTAAAATAAAATTAATTGCTATTTATTAAGTAATATAATTTATGGAGTTAATTAAAATATTTAATACTAATTATTCAATAAATAAATCTTAATTACAAATGACCTAAAGATACTAAGTCTATATTTGTTTTGAAAAAAAATCTATCCCAACAAATGTTCGTTGGCATAGTTCTGGCGACATTTGCATGATTAGACCTCCCCCAACGAAAGTTCGTTAGAAGAGATGTTTTTATATATATTTTTAATTTTAAAAATATAAAATTAATTTATTTACATAGAATATCAAAGAACAGCCGGTCGGCTATACTCTTAAAATATACTTTATAAATAGAATTAGTTTACAGTATAGCCGAGCGGCTATACCGTTTAAATAATTTTAAAGTATGGCCGTTCGGCTATACTATTTAAATGGAACATTTTTAATACGCTTGGAATAGGTAAAATCTGTATTTCTCTTTTTAATAGCAAAATCTGTATTTCTCTTTTTAAATTACTTTAATTAGTTGTAATGTTTTAATAAGTATTTAAATATTTTATCAAAGAAAAAAAAAACTATTTATTAAGTAATATAATTTATGGAGTTAATTAAAATATTAATTATTAATTATTCACTAAATAAACAATAATTAAAACATAATTACTAATAAAATTAATTAAATAAGGCAAAGATATTATTTAATTACTGAAAAGAAAATTTCAAATTTTTTTTTAATTGACCTAAAGATACTAAGTTTATATTTATTTTGAAAAACATTTTATTACATATACTATTTATGGTGTCTAGCCGCTCGGCTATACTCTTAAAACATTTTATTTATGGTTTGTAGCCGATCGGCTATACTACTGATTACTATTTATGGATAATAGCCATTCGGCGATACTATTAAAGATAGTATTTATGGAGTATAGCCGCACGGCTATAATGTTAAAATATACTATTTATCTGTAGTTAGTATTCAGCGCTGGGTCATTTTGACAATATCTAGGAATATTTGTGGTCTTTTTGAAAAGTTTATGAAAAATGGGGTAAAAAACGTAAATTTAAACCTTCAACCTGTAAACCCAGCCCTCTTCTCGAGAGAGAGCTAGGTTTTTACATTTTGGTTTCGGCGGCAGAAGGAAAAGTAAGAGAAAAAGAAAAGAAGAAAGAAGAAGAACAACTAAACCTAACCTTCTCGACTGCATCTGCTCCAAGGAAAATCGCGCACAGCACCAGGTCCAGGTCCAGCGTTTCTTCTTCTTCTCTGCTGCTGCACGAGGTATTTTTATTTTTATTTTTATTTTAAATTTGATCTGACTTGGTTGCTCCACGAAGTATATTGGATATAAATTCAGTACTTTAGAAATATCCTAATAGAAGAAGAATTATTTTAGTGTTGTCATGTATTTTGTTTCCTTTTAGACTCTAAATCTCTCTCTCTCCCCCACTCTGTGTTGCAGAAAAGAGAAAAGTTTGTTGATTAACAGTATTGCTTGCAGAGAAGAGAAGATTGTTCAGAATTGAAATATGTCCAGTGGCCCTGGTCTTGAGTCACTTGTTGATCGTATGGAAATTCTACTCGACTTTCCATTATTATTACTTGTATCAAATATCAATGTTGTTGTTGATTACTGTACTGTGCATGAATATAGTTTTTATATCTATCCTATGCCCAAATTTTATACCCCATTTAAGGCAGGGCATGAGCCAGCCTAGGCATTATATATGCTGTGAGCATTTCAAATCTCTCTCTCTCTCTCTCTCTCTCTCTCTCTCTCTAACTGTTTAAAGCATTTCTATGTTATGTGCAGAAACAATTTCAGTTATCACAAATGATGGACGGAATATTGTGGTATATTATACACTGACACTCTAATGCACCTTTTACATGTTATTAACCGAATTAGTTTAGTTTTATTAACAACTTTTTTTGTTTCCAATTAATTCAGGGAGTCTTGAAAGGCTTCGACCAGGCTACTAATATCATTCTCGATGAATCTCATGAACGTGTTTTCTCTACAAAGGTTTGCGTCGTCTTCACTGTAACAAGCATCATTGCACCTTTGTTTGTTTACTTTTTATGGCTTAAGTAATTGGACAACTAGAAAGGGATTTAGCTAGGAAACTACCTTATGGTAGTTAAGTCAGTATTATTCTCAGTTTTCCAATTTTGGCTAATCCAATGCAATGCTAAATGGCCGCGGCAGGCATTTGTTATTTTCCTCAGGACATTACCCTGCTCATGGGGGTTTATAATACATATGGTTGCCAAAGTAGTATATACAAAACACGTATATATATATATATCTATACACATATGGCGCTAGCTGTGGTAACTTCTTGTTATTTCTGGCTGACTGGCAGGAGGGTGTTCAGCAACTCGTGTTGGGGTTGTATATAATCAGAGGTGACAACATGTAATGTCAACAACACTTTATTCTATTTTCATTAGTTTAGTTTCCCATTGGAACCGTTGTGGGAAGAAGTGAATTGGACTGATATAATTAGACTTCTTACAAATTTCTTTCTACTTCCCATATATAATGTTCTCTCTATGTATCCTCCAATTCCAATTGTTGCAGAAGCATCGTTGGGGAATTAGATGCAGATCTTGATTCTACTGTTGACTGGTCGAATATGAGAGCTTATCCCCTCAAGCCTGTCATCCACTGACTCAGCATGAAAGCAAAGCCATAGAGCGGTTGGTTGTGGACTCAAGAGCATATAAGTGAGATTCAATGAAGCAGAATAGGTATAGAATCTATGAAAATTCGAGTTTGCTTGCTATATTCATGCATAATAGGTGCTTTCAAAAGTGTTTCCTAATATCATTTTCTTAAACACTGATTCAATGAAGCAGAATTATCAGCACCAATCTAGTTATTTGCAACTTTTGAATTCCTTTGATAGCCAATATATATTTACAAGTAAATGATGTTTTTCCGTTTTCTTATCAAGGAGCATATAAGTGAATGGGTTTAGAAAGTGAATGAATGAATAACTTACAATATTCATTTATTTTTCCGACAAAATCACTTTTTTTCTATTTAAAAATGAATGAATGAATATTTTTGTACTAAAGTCTTGATTATCTCTTGAAAGTTGACCGGGTTCGAATGGCATGTACTAAAAATCTTCATTCATTGTTTTGGGCTTTTCATATATAGGTCCATTATAATGACATTTTATATATACAAAAAAAATAAAACCCTTCAAGTCCAATACTTTCAAAAAACTCCATGCTCTATTTCAAGTGAATTATTTTTAGCACATTACGAATCAGTTAGAAAACGATAAGTGGCTGGTTGAGGGCTTTTTTCTTCAAATAGTCTCTCTAGAGATTTTTGTATAAATTAGGTAGTTATGGTGTCTTTTCGAATTTCTTTTATTTTTCCCTTGAAGAAACCGTATACATTCATTATCAACTCTGAAACTGAATTCTAAAATTTAACTGTAAAGGAATCGGTCCATGCTAAGCCAATGCACAAATTAATGGACTTGCAAAACAGAAGCAAAAGGCCATAATATTTAGGAGAATTTCCACCGTATATAATTATTTGACTATATAGGATGTATTTTATATATGTGAGGGTCTAAATGTAGAGATTCGGGATCCCTAGGAAGGACATGATCGCATGCACATGGTTGTTGTAAATTATAGGACTCCATTGGTCCACCACTAAACACAGTTAAACAAAGCTAGCTAACAAAAAAAAGCACAAAGATAGTGAACGAGCTAAACTTGAGGAGCAGTGAAACTGCAGAACCTTCATATTTTCCCTTCCGGCCATAGCGATTTCGTGATAGCTAGCTAACCATTACGACTGATCCCCAACAACGTGCCAAACAAACTTAGGAGCATTACGAATATTAAATCCGGCTATAAATATCTCTCTCCATTCTCGTTCTTTCATATCTGTAAAGAGTTGAAGAGAAAAACCTTGCTGTAGCTATTTCTGTGCATGAGCGAGTTGGAAAGTACATATAATATATAATGGCTAGCAAAGCCATAGAGCGGTTGGTTGTGGACTCAAGAGCATATAAGTGAGATTCAATGAAGCAGAATAGGTATAGAATCTATGAAAATTCGAGTT